TGGTTTCCTGTTTCTGCAGGTCAGGATGTGACCCCTGGGCCCCCTCCCGGAATCCAGGCTCCAGCCAGCCCTTCAGGGACCATGGAGATACAGCCCCTGCCTGGCAGCCCCCTCTTCAGTCTGCAAACTTCCCCAACACACATATTACACTGAACCTCTCTTGCCCAAGATTCTTGGAAGCCACAGATCTGCCACCCACTCACAGGAAATCGGAGGATTTGAGGTCATTCAGAAATGAACGGGAAAGCCAATTCTCAACTGCCAGGGTTTGAAGAAGGTGGCCGTAGGTCGGGAAGGGTTGGGGCTAGGAGCTGAGCCAACCCCTTTCCCACACTGCCCCTACAGCCGCCCTTGCTTCTTACCTCTAGGTCTTTGCTTATGCAATGCCCCCTGTCTGGAATGACCTTTACCCTCTCTGTGTGCAGCTGGATACTTGGAGTCTTTTCCCTAGTGCCCGTTTCCTTCACTCAGTGCTTGGCCCTTAAAGCTATCAAATGCTGGTTCCATCACTCTACACCAGAGCTGCTCCATCTGCACTGGCCCTCGGGTAGCTGCCACAATACCACATCTGCCCTTGCTCTGGCCCAGGGGTGGCCCGAGGCAGGACCTGTGGGGCTGCGTTTTCTCTGCATTCTTAGCACTCAACACAGGCTGGGCACAGAGCAGGCACCAGTGAGGGCTGACTGAGGGGGGCTATCAGCTGTGGAGCCTATCCTTGGGGTTGTCTGGGAGGAAGAGGTCTTCCAGGGAAACTTGGGGTTCTCAGTGAGCGTAACAATAGGAGCAGGTGGGATCATGGGCTCAGCCCTTGGGGAAGCTAGGACACCCTGAGCAGGAGGCCTAGCTCCATCTTGCACAACCTTTCATTAGGCACTCACCACCTGGGCTGGGCCTCAGCTGGCTTTCTGGGCGTGTCTCATCTGCCTAGTCTCTGAGGATCAAATTAGTCAGCCAATGTGAAGATGCTTTGAGGGGAATGCTGGGTGAGACATGGAGCCCAGAGATGAGAGGCAAAAACGGTGACTCTGTACGATAATCACTGGACTAGGAACCACAAGGTTTTGGCAGTTCGAGCCCACCAGCTGCTCCACGGAAGAAAGATGAGGTTTTCTGTTCCCGCAAAGATTTACAGCATTGGAAATCTTATACAGGTTCACTATGAGTCAGAACCAACTTGAGGGCACTTACCAACAAGCAGCTAGCATATATAGAATGGTATCTCATTGAAGTCTCACAAGAACCCCAGCAGGTAGGTATCATTGTCCACCCATTTTCCCGACATAAAAACCAAGGCTCAGAGACATGATTGCTCAAGATGCAGCTGGTATGTGGTGGAGCCAAAAGCCAAATCAATGCCTGTCTGGCTCCAGAGCCCATATTCTTGACAACTCAGCCCACATCCTACCTCACATACAAACACATCCAACACCATCAAGGTCACGTAGCTACACTCATTCATTCATTTAGATTCTCATAGATTCAACAAGCGTGTATTTAGCATGCCAGTCCAAGAGCCAGATTCAAATACTCTGTGATTCCAAGTCAAGTCCCTGAGCCCAAGAAACATGTTTCATAGAGAATGGAGAGGACTCCCGGTGACAGATGGGGACTAAGCCCTGCTTCTAAAAAATCCCAGCTCTCTCCACTACCTCCTCAGATAAATGTCTCTGGCAGTCCTGAAGCTTGAAGTCTGGCTCCTTGAATTAGAAGCTGGATGTTATGGAGACTGAATTATCTGGGAAAGGCAGAAGGTGACATGGAAATTCTGTGGTCATGAGCTCAAGGATTCTTGGAATGTGACACAAGTCACGGTGGTGCTGTGGGTTAAGTATTTGGCTGCTAACCAAAAGGTCAGTAGTTCAAACACACCAACTACTCTGTGGAAGAAAAATGAGGCTGTCTGCTCCCGTAAAGATTTATAGCCTCAGAAAATCTAAGGAATGGGTCTACTCTATCCTATAGCATGGCTATGAGTGGAAATTGGCAGTGAGTTTTGGTTGTGTTTCACAATAATGTGAAATATGTGGCATTTCTATAGAAGAATCCTGACCAAAAAGGAGGAAATGAGGAAAAGAATTTCAAATTGTCATGGAATCCAGACTTTCTGGAGCCACTGAGGGTAGATGAATCCATGAAATTCCTGTCCTGAGATCATCTTTCACCTTTAAAACCTTAAATTAAAAATAACCCCTAAAGTTTTCTTTACGATAAATAACAGTTTTGTTAATTAATCAAGAATGTCTGCCTTGAGCATTGTGATCTTTTAAAGAAGTATGTATAAGTATATGGGATCAAACTGACAGCTGCAACTTGAAATATTAGATAAGAAATGTATGGAGTTTATACTAATGGAGGAGGAGCAGTTGAGAAAAGGAGGGTAAAAATGATGCATAAATTGAAGAATGTAATTAATATCACTGAAGTGTGCATGTAGAAACTGTTGAAGTGGCGTATGTTCTGCTGTGTCTACAAGGGGGTTTTAAAAAGTGTAGAAAACTTCCATTGTCCTTTCATTCCATTTTTCCAGGAATTTTTGAAAGCCCCTCATATTCTCAACAACAAAAATTTTAAAATGTGGCAACGCATTATGCTCCAGTGTGGTACAGTAGGATAAGTACTGGACTGCTAAGGTCAATGTTGGCAGTTCAAAACCACAAGCCGCTCCTTGAAAACCCTATATAGCAGGGTTGGGGAACATCCAGCATGTGAGCCTTATAAGGCCCTGGAAATCATTTGGTCTGGTCCTACCAATGCAACTGCGATTCCAACCATCACATTGTTGTTGTTGTTGTTAAGTGCTGTGGAGTTGGTTCCAATCTATAGCAACCCAGTATAGGGTTACTGAGGAGCAGCTGGTGGGTTTGAACCTCCGTCCTTTCAGTTCAAACTGACCTTGCAGTCCAACACATTCTCCTGCAGTGCCACACCAGGACCCCATCACATTACTGTTGTTGTGTGCCGTCAAGTTGGTTCCAACTTATAGGACTCATAGTGACCCTGTATAGGGTTTCCGAGGAGCGGCTGGTGAGTTTGAACCACTAAATTTGCAGTTCAAACCAACCTAGAAGTTGAGTGCTTATCCTATGGTGTCACACCAGGACTTCAAATGCTTGACCAAATATAGCAGGCTAATTTTTAAGTTGATAATTTTTTATGGCCCACAAACGATGCTGTAAATTTTGGCAGAAAAAAGATTCCCCACTCCTGCAACAGAGTCCTGGTGTGGTGCAATGGATTAATGTGCCGGACTGCAAAGTCATTTGAATCAGAAGGTTGGCAGTTCAAGCTCACTAATCGCTCCTTAGAAACCCTATATAGGGTCGTTATGGGTTGGAACTGACTCAACGGCACCTAACAACAGAACCCCTGCAATAGGGTTACCATGGGTCAGAACTGACTCAATGGCACTTAATGACAGCCACAAAACCCTCTAACAACTGCTTTTGCTCCCAGGACAAAGACTAAACTCCTTACGATGGCACTGGGTGAAGGGGGGCTTCCCATGTCTCCAGCCCCACGCTCCTCACCAAGTCTTGCTCCCTGCCTCTGTAGGAACTGTGCCCTCTGTTCTTCCTCACTGCTTCCTGCTCTTGGTGAGCTCCTAACCATCTTTCCTGGCATTGCTTGCATTGCTTGCTATTAGGAAAACCTGCCTAATCCTAGAGTAGCTGGGGTGCACTGCCAGGGGCTCCCCCAGATGCATCCATCACCTGGAGCCTGGCTGTTTACACACCTGTTTCCCATAGACCTGGAGGCTCACTGGGGGCAGGGCCACATCTCACTCGGAACCTGTTGTTGAATGATTAGAGTGGGGAGAACTCAACCACCTGGATAAGGCACGGGAACCTGAACATCAGAGTAAAAAGCTGAACTTACAAAGGGAAGTTTTATTTTTTCACTGTTGTTGCTGTTATGTGCCATCAAATTGGTGTCGACTCATAGTGACCCCTATGCACAACAGAACGAAAACACAACCTCACAGCCGTTGCTATGCCGGAACCCACTGCTGGTATCCCTGTGCTAAATTAAAAAAATATATAGGCCCAAGAAAACCACCAAGTGTGCTTGGTGGTCTCTGGCTTGGGGATTATTGAGGTCCACAGTCCTCATGGTAGGCAGAGCAGTGGGGAGAAAGGCCTCCTAATATTGGTGGTTTGGGCACCACACAAACGCAGGGCAGTTTAACAATTTTGAAGGCAGGCTGACCACTAAGCTACCCTGCCTGAGCCAACACTTCCCAGAACCATTATCCTAAGACCACATGAGCCAGGTGTGGCCTCCAGCCCTGGCCAGCCAGACCCCATGCGAACACCAAGATTCTCAGCTGGCTCTGGAGTCCCCAGGAATCTGACATACATGCTGGCCTTGGCATGTCACTTCACCTCTCTAGGTCAGCCTTAGCTTCTTCCTCCGAAAAGTGGGGATTATAAAAAGATGCTGGCCCGTGGAAGGCCAACTCGATGCCTGGCACAAAGTAGGCCTAGCACAGTGCCTAGCATATAACATAAACACAGTCAATGTGTTATTATTAAGAGGGGCTTAGGTAAACTGATGGTTTCCAAGGCTGGTATTGCTGTTCAGACCTGAAGGGTTGTCTTGTGAGGTCATGGAGACACGAAGAGGTTCAATAGGGGATATTCCAGAAGGGAGCTTTGTGCTCACTTGAAGGAAGTGCTGGCCTGTCATGGCACTGTTTGCTGGGAGGCAGTATGCTCCCCTCATTGCGGCCACTTAAACAGGAGTTCACCTGTCAGCAGTGGCTCACCTGCGGTCCTCTGCCATCCACCTGACTCTTCATACTCCCCTCGGTTGTCAGCCAAATCCAGCTCTTTCCACCCAGTGGATCCATAATATTGTCCAGATGCCAGACCCTGCCCCAGAAATGCTACCAGATACAAGCCCTCTGTATCCGCCAGGGACAGCCTCAGGGTAAGTCTTTTTCATTCCTTTGGCCTTAGGGCTCCCCTGGAACTTCCCTGACCTTGCCATGGGACACTCACCCTTGGGAACTTCAGGAAGAGGATGCGAACTTCAAGGGTAGTGTTGGGGACTTGAGCCACGCAGCCCTCAGAGACCTGGCTTGTGGTGTATGTCACCTTGCCCCTCTCAGGGTCCACAGGCTGTAGGTCACAATGGACTGTTTCTGCAGGACCTGTTGGAGAAGCACAGCCAGCGAGAAGGTCAGGTAAGCGTATGGTAACCACATTGCTCTCACTTTCGTAACCATTACACTAAGAGCTAGGCTCAGGTTACCGGGGCTTGCTGCATCCTCACAGCTACCTCAAAGGTATCATTACAGGCATCTCCAACTAAGGAGCCCTGGTGGCACAATGCGTAAGTGCTTGTCTGTGAACTGAAAGGTTAGTGGTTAAAATTCACAAGTCACTCAGCAAGAGAAAGATGTGACCATCTGCTCCCATAAAGACTGCAGCTTAGAAAACCTTATGGGGTAGTTCGACTCTGATCTATAAGGGTTACACACAACAGTCCCTAGCCTACAACGCGGTTCCATTCTAAAGACTCTGTAGCACGTTGTTTCTGATGTAAGTAAAATACCTCTTTGTTCTTTTAGTTTTTATCATTACCTTTTATTACCAGTATCTTTATAAATCTGATCTTTTGGGGTTGGAAACTTTTCATACAAACTTCTGCTAGTGAACATCTGAGAAAGGTAAGATCAGCAAATTATGAGTTGCCAAATTGTATGTAATTGATATTACTAATAATTGTTACTGTTGTTAGGTGCCAACGAATTGGTTCTGACTAATAGTGACCCTGTATACGGTTTCCAAGTCTGTAAATCTTTATGGAAGCAGAAAGGCTGATCTTTCTCCTACGTTACTAATAAGAAGATGTACTAGAAAAAAAGAAAACCAAAAACAGTTGTAAATTTTAAGACTACATAGTAAATTGGGGATTACCATTCCACAGATAAAGAAGCTCAGAGAGAAAAGGTACTCGCCTACGGTCACAATGCTACTATGTGTAGGGTAAAGAGAGTGCTCAAGTAAATTTGACTTTCAGATAGACAATATTTATACAGGGCATCTTATGTTTCTATTTGTTAAACCTGGCAAGCCCAACTATGTAGCTGGGCCCACATGCAAACTAAAGCCTCCAAACCTGGTTCCCTCCAAAGGAAGGCAAAAGCTGATATCTGGAAACAAAGCTTCCCCTCTTGTACCTCCAGGAGGCAGGGAAGAATAGTCTTCTGGTCCAAAGAGGGTTGTGAATTTCCTGGCCCAAGGGACAGGATGAACCAAAAGGACAGCCCAGGTTAGGCGGGAAGCTGCTGGAGTAGGCCGCAGAGCCTGCCACTGGGCCGGCCGGAAACACAAGTCCATAGAGAAGAGAATGGAATTTCACCCTGACCCAGTAGAAGAGGAAGAGGAAATGAGGCCCCTACACCTCGTCCTAAGGAATGTGCTGGGGAAGGAGGGGAGGGTCACTCCAGAGGAGGGAAGGAGGACAGAGAAGGGGAGACTGTTTGGAAGTTTGTGTCTCCATCTTGTCGCGCTCACTTCCTGTTTTCTTGGAGATCAAAGATGGGTGCGGAGGAACTGGCCTCACATCCAGCTGACGCCAGCTCAGAGGGGGCAGGGAGTCTTCTTCCAAACCTCAAACTTTCTTTTACCTAACCTGGCCTTCTTGTTCACCTTCCACAGCCTGGTTGGGCTCTGGCCACCCCTTTCCCACACACTGAGAAGTCAGAGAAGGACATAAGATGGCCACCACCCTTCACCATTGAAAATAAGGCCTACCAGCTCTAGCTTGGGATAGATAAGATCAGGACAAGGACATCTTACCACCATGGAAGCCCAGGCGTTATCAACCCCTGCCCTGGCTCTTTCCTGAGTGTGCCAGGCCCTCCAGAGTGCCAGGGTGATACAGCAATGTGGTTAAAACAATGATAAAAAATTTTGAAACAGAGAGTGGTAATGACTACACGGCATTATTTTTGTTGTTGTTAAGTGCCACCAAGTTGGTTCCAACTCATAGTGACCCTGCATAAGGTTTCTGAGGAATAGCCGGTGGTTTGAACTACCAACCTCGTGGTTCGCTGCCCAGTGCTGATCCCACAGCACCACACCAGGAGCCCACAGCATGGTGACCATCAATATCACTGAGCTACACACAGGAAACTGGTTGAAGTAGCAAATGTTTTGTTACAGATATTTTTACTATAATAAAAATTTTTTCTTTTTTTTAAAGCAAGGCCTCTGGAAATAGACCAACCTGGGTTTGAATCTCAGGCTCAACATTTACTAGTTATGTTGCTTTTATGACAAAATGTCTCTACTTCGGGCCTCAATTTCTTCATCTGTAAAAAGAACATAGAACTCACCTCCTAGGTTACTGGGAGAATTCCAACAGACAGTCCTACGCCCATTCTTATCATAACACTAATTGTATGAGAGGGCTTCGAATAGTTAGTGGGGAAACTGAATTACAGATAATGGGATTTTTTTTTTCATGAATATTTTGAAGCCCCCCTCGAATATTATGTTATAATTAAGTCCCTGGGTAGGGCAAATGGTCACTGTGCTCAATTGCTAACTGAAAGTTTGAAGGTCAGAATCTACCCAGTCACCTCAGAAGAAAGACCTAGCAATCCACTTGTGAAAAATCAACAATTAAAAACCATACGGGAGCAGAGAGCGGGACCCTACCCAGAAAAACAGTGACGCCAGAGATGGAGGCAGAGATGATGACATGGAGAGATGGAGCGGCTGGGGACTTCAGACCCAGAGAGGGAGAGGGGCTGTGTGCTGACGACCGGGGCTGGGGGATAGGCTTGCAGGGTATACCCTTTGGTTGGTTGATGATGCATGGTGGGGACTGTAATCATGGCAATGAAACGATATACGAGAGGATGAATGTAAAGCTAATGTTCTCCCATGTAAACTATCACATAATTCACAATAAAACATTAAAAAAAAAAACCAACCATATGGGGTACAGTTCTACTCTGACACATAAGCTGGCATGAGTTAGAATCAACTTGACAAGAACTGGTTTTAAAAAATGTATTATAATTATTTATTATTATGTGGCACTGTAGGATAAGCACTGAACTGCTAACCACAAGGTCAGCGGTTTGTAGCAAGGACTATATTCTAATTATTGAATCTACAATTCAGTCATTACAGAAGAATCAACTGTCTCAGAGGTGGGGTGATGTGGTAGGAAGGAGCAGGTTCCAGGTGAGCAACCTCTAGATGCCTCCTTACCCCAATAAACTGGCTCCCCTCTCTTGTTGGTTTCATCCCTCTGATCCTCCAACCCCCTCTTTCCCTATCAGTGAACAGAAGGCTCCTTGGCTGTTATCTAGTCCAACCTCCTTTGGTACATATGGGGAGACTGAGTCCAAAGTCACACTGCACATGGCTGACCAGGCTGTACCATGCACCCACGTCTCCCCACACGACCCAGGACTGGCCTGCAGATTAGCACAGCCCCTCCCTCATTCCCTCCGGACTTTCCCTGCCCCCTCCCCAGACTTCCAGGAACCCCAGTTCCTCCAGGATTGCCAGGGGCAGCCTGGGGCCACCTCCTCCATGCCGTCAGCGGGAGAGGCTGCAGGCCTGGCCATTATGTAATGATCAGATAACAGGCCAGGCTGGGAGATCAGATAAGAGGTCCATTTATTTTGGGGCCTTTCGAATCCTGGCTGCCTCCACCCCGCAGACGAGAATGGGGAGACAGGAGGGAGTGTGACGCCCGGGCCTGTCTCCCGGAGCCGGAGGCGGGCCCAGACAGAGCTGAAAACAATTCCCTGGCACCACCGGAAACGCTGGGGCCTCCTGGGACCTGGTCAGAGGGGCCACTGCTAGGGCCTTGAGTGTCCAGGGCCTGGGTGAGAGACTTTGGAGGCCCTCCCCCGAAAACACACACATACACTGGCAGCTTCCTCCTTCTTACCCATCCATGGACCCATGAACACATAGCCGCCTAAGGTGCTTTTCAAATGACCACCCTCAGCATCTTAGGAGGCCCATAGTTGTTGTTGTTAAGTGCTGTTGGTGCCTACTCATAGCGACCCTATATAGAGTTTCCAAGGAGCGGCTGATGAGCCTGAACTGCCGACCCTGCAGCTCAAGCTAACCTTGCAGTCCAGCACATTAACCCACAGCACCACACCAGGACTCCAGGAGGCCCAAAGTGTCCTGGTTAATAAACTTATCTCAGATAGCCTGAGTCACAGCCCAGCTCGGCTGTGTTCTGAAAAGTTGGTTGCCTTGGGCAATTGCCTAACCAGCCTCAGTTCCTGATGTGCAAAACAGAAATGTTCATAGCAAATGTCCCATCATGTTTACTGGGAGCCAGGCATACTGCTTGAAGGTTGTACGTGAGTTGATTCATTTCATCCTCACAGCAGCCCTTTTAGGTGAGGCGTACTTTTGTACACCCATTCATTTTACAGAACAGACACATGGCACCTAACAATAACATCCATTTTACACACAAGGAAATGCAAGGAGATTCAGGGAGGTTAACTAACTTGCCTAAGGTTATTCAGCTACTGTGTCAAGGCCTGAATTTGAACCCAGATGTTCCAGCTCAGAACCTAGCCCTCACTTCACAGACTGCTGTGTGTCAGTTTGGGGAATCAACCTATGGAACACACCTGGTACCCAGTCAGTAGTGTTCTGTATACAATAGCCACTGTCACCTAGTAGCTATTATTATTTCATACCAGGGAAGATATTTTTTGATAAGTTTTTTTCTGTTAAAAAGGTCCCTTCTCCTTCAGCTTTGCTTCTTTCTGGGTCTAGTTATAACCTCACAGATCTCCCAGCTTCCAGTCTAACTAACTCCTCCTGGGTCTGACCACCAATGAAGCCTCTCGCCTGGTTCCTTAACGCCTACAGGGTTAAATCCACACCCCACAACTTAGAGTGGAGTTTGAATGAACAGGCTTGAGGTCCTGATGCTAAGTCTGCAGCCTCCATGCCTAAGTGTTGTTATCTATAGAATAGGGAGGCCGACAATGGCAATGACTTCTTTATCTAGTTGGTGAGTGCTGGTAAGTATTAATAACACACACTATGCTAAACTTGCTGCTGACCCCTGAGGACTGTTCAGGAACTGGATATTCATATCCAGTCGATGGGAAGATGTTACGCATTTGCCCAAAACACATCTTATCCCCTGTCCCTGCCATGTCCTTTCCTTTATTTGACTGCCTGGCCAACTTCTATTCATCCTTCAAAACCCTGTTCTGTAAATCTTCCCGTTAGAACCTATTCCTTCCCTTTCAAGGGCATTGGTGCTGGGATGTCCTTCTAGAACTACACATGCCCATGGGGGTTGTCTTCATTCATCTGTGTTTCTACCTCTCCAGAAAGAAGGGAACTTTCCCATGCCAGGCAGAGTCCAGATCACCTGACTCACCAATGCCCAACCCAGAGTACAGACAAGGCAAGAGGAAACCAACTAGTCAGGTCTACCTTGAACTTGCCAGATGACCCATGTTAAGACCCTTCATCAATATGGACCCGTTTCCCTATGGATACTTGGAGAGGGAGAGAAGGATGGATGAGACAGGCTCCAAGTTCTACCGGGGGGTCTTATATTCTGAGGTTCCACCGGGGACAAAGGCACAAAGAGAGGGCAGGGCATTGATGGGGCTACTGAAAATAGAGGTTGAGCTGTCACTCTAGGGGAAGGGGTTGATTGCCTGAGAAAATCAGGCTACAAGGAGATTCCTGTCATACCTGTTGGCTATGGTTCAGCCTAGGGCTAGAGTCCCAGGGGCTCACTTCTGGGCTGTGTTGACTCAGGCACATTCCTCCACCTGTCTGTACCCAGGACTGTGCACGTCATAGTGATTTTGCCATGGTTTAATCTGAAAGTACACAGGTTATGCCTAAAGCAGCATCTGGCACAATGCAAGTGCTGACTAACTGCCAATAGTTAATAGTTGCTTTTTCGTGTGTGTGTGTGTGTGTGTGTGTGTGTGTTTTTTTTTTTTTTTTTTTGCCCTCTGCCCCTGGATTAAAGTTACTTTAGCCCCTGGAGGAGGTTCCTCCTCAACCTTCAGGACTGATCCTCCCAAAATCTGGGCTATAGCTTGAGTAGTACCAGGGCAAGTAGTACCAGCTCTCCAAGTGTCCACAGCCCAAGTTTCCAAAGGTCTGGTACTCTAACTTGGTGCAAGGAAAAGCAACTGGGTTTAGATTCAAATATGAACCTGTCCCTTGAACTGAGCCTCAATTTCCTCATCTGTAAAGTGG